AGTTCTATATCCAACTGTACCTATTTTGAACGTATGAAGACCAAAATGTTGTGGCCTTTTGTATGGTCGCAGTCTCATTTCGTTGTATAGAAGTTGTTTGACGTTGTTTTCGCAACTTGGTCATGTTGGTAGGAAGATCTAGAGGAAAGCACCTAGTCCGGAGACCGTAGTATGCATAATAATTTACAGTCAGACCTTGGACGTGGTACATTGTTTAGCAGACAATTAGTCAAAGGATCGGCTTCACCTGTCTCTGACAAGTTGTAGTGTGATGCCAAGACTGGCAATGCTCACTGACGATACCGGCCAAACGTCTGGGAATGTACCACGTCCATGGTCCAATTTTTGAAATTCTCATGCATGTAATGGACTCCGGACTAGGCGTTGCTCTAGGTCTTCCTACCAATATGACCATGTTGCAAAAACAAGGTCACACAACTTCTATACTTATATTCTTCTCGTTTTTACTTACAAATGTATTTAGCATATAGGATAGAACCGGAAAGTTTCTTGTCCTAGTGCTAACTAGAATAAATAATTTTCAGCTCTGACCATGTTTGTCATATGGCGAACGAAAGTTCAGTCACTTTTCCCCTGAAACGTGTGAGCATGTTTCGTGGGCTACATCAATCTTAACTTCCTATATAAGCTAAACGGTTGCAGAACGGAAATCTGCCATTATCTTCTGGTAAGGTCGACCTCTGATTATTTTTATCATGAACTTTCATACGAAGTGAAAACCTCCACAACAGCGTAATCTCAAGAAATTTATCTACTTTTTATGCATTTTATCTAGGATTATTGAATTATTTCATTTTGGTTAATGGATCTATGACTAAGGTACAATCAGACTGATTCCTCCAAAAAACTGCACAAAATGTATTTTGCTGGCTTTCGGGGCATTCAGTATGCAAGATGCAATGTTACAAACCTAGTGACTGAATCATACTGGTGTCATATACACATATCTATCTACTCAGGTATTTATGTTGCCTACTTTGACGTATTCTTGCATACTTACGGCAGTTGCTCTTGTATCCTGAGTCTTTCATTAGATCTCGAATACTCATAACTTTTATTCTGATCCGTGCATTTGACTACATTCTCCATCAAAGCGAAATCTCATTTTGCCTCAGTTTTCAAACTAATGGCTCCACGAACTACAGATTTTTAACTAAACGCCTTCTTCACTAATCTCATTGTTAGCTCTACCACGCATTCCATTAGTCACACAGGCTGATAGGCTATCTTAATAGCCTTATAACTTTTAATTAATCAGTCAATTAGTGCAAATTATTATCTATCGACTTCAAATGGTATTTTTATTTTCAAAAACGAAAAATCATCAATTCAACCCTAGCTTGGAATACTTATTTGTTCCTACTTTGGTTTGCTACAAATTTACAATCAACTTTCCTTTATCACCATATTTTTCTCTTATTCCTTTTCGTTAGAAAGCTGTAGCTGATAATGAAAAGCGTCGACGTGCTGAAGCTCTCATGATAATGACAACTGTCACTGGCGACTCGGCTGGCGGCCACTTCTCCTCTGGTGCTAGCAATGGAGTTAATCAGGCAAACGGTGGTATCGCTGTTCTTAAGAAGCCAAAAGGCGTATGTGGCATTTAATCCATATTTATTTGCTTATGGATACCTAAATGTTGCACCTTAACGGTTTTTATTCATATACTAAGTAAATTAGTGCATCTCGCCGGGATTAACCCATATTTACTTGCTGTTCTTGGTATGTGCATGTATACTATAAGTAAACTCCATATCACTGTTATCCATCCTTTTTCATGTTTATTATTTTATTTTTTACCTTTTTTGTCATGTATTACTATATGCATGACAAAAATATGATCTTTTCCCTATTGGGCATAATATGACCTGATAGAACGAGATTTTAATGTCCTGGGCTTTATGTCAGATTGTAAGATGATAGTCTAAAACTGCTGACCTAACAGCTGATCCCTCAAATGACTTAAAATGTTTTTTTAATGCTTATATGAGTGAAACTTTGATAACTAATCTATTGTTTATGTTAGAAGTTAAAACGCAAACATGGATATTAAATTAAATATGTATACCACTTGCAGTCATTTTTGTGGTGTCAGACTGTCTAATATCGATCTGAGCGAACTCTTCAATGTTTGTAGTGATTTGCAATCCTTGCTTTTCAAGGGCATGTTGTTATCTAACCCTTAGAATTTCCTATTTCAAAAATAATTTTAGGGTGAAAATAA